CAGGTCTAAAACTTTCTAGGTAATCAGGTTGAAAAATGCTATTTGTGCAGGCTAAAAGTAATGTTATGTAAGACAGTAGTAATTATATTTGACTGCTGTGTAGCTTCTAGGGTGGTCAGTGGCTCTATGAGATTTTATTTTATCTTGTCGTGTCTGCAGACTACAAAAATTCTTTTGGGGTTCCTATTGCAGCAGAACTTACTGATAACCTAAGGTTATATTTCAGCTCAGTTAAGAGTCTTACGACTTATAGAGAGAAAACTCTTTCAACCTTTGATGCGTTTCAGGTTGGTTTTTGTTATTTACTAAAATGGGAACTGTAAAGAACTGGGATCTTATCCTCTGAAATGCATTTAGCCCAGCTATAAGGAATTCAAATTTTTCAGGAGCAGAAGCTTCAAGAAAATGAATCTCAACAAAAGTGTTTTCTTCTGACTTCCAGCTTCAGAAGTTGACATTTGTAATACATGCACTTTTCTTCAAAGGTCAATGCTTTTTTCTGCTGATCCTCTGTTTGTTAATTTGAACTGTTTGATTTCCGATAATTATTAATTTCTGCATGTAATGTGTCTTTTTATCTTTGTCACCTGTGATAGATTATGACAAAACCTCTTGGTTGATTAGATGTGCCCTAACTCCTTAGCTTAGGAGGAGCTAAATAGTCCAATGCCAGCACAGTGCAGACTGGTGTAATCCATCTGTTGCAGAGTGTCACTGTGTGGGAGCTTAGCTGACGTCCACCAAATAAAGTTTATCACTTCAGACAGGGCAGTGCATTACACTGTTTCTATTCCAAGGCTTGCTTGTTCAGTGCTATCTTGGGCAGCTGTGCATCATGTTTCCTTGTGGTTGCAGGAAGAAACATGGAGCGTGGCTTAAACTATTATGAAAATGTATTTTCTTTGTCCCCATTCATGCACCTTCAGTGTAATAAAAGCTTCTCACAAAGATTTGATCTCATAATCTGTGGAGGAAACTGGTATCCAATACTACTTCTACTCCTTCAGCAGTTGTCCATGATGCCATCGACAAGTATGCCAGCTTTTGACTCAACTTCTACTACTGTAAAACTAAAATGATGCAATGAGCTCTGAGGATTAAGTGAAATGTGAGAATTAATTAGATGGATGCTATTTTGTTTGAATGCAAATCAAGCGTCCATTAGCACTTCTCGTGTGACAATTGCTGTACAACTGAAAATGCCTGCTAAAATGTTGTGTCTCATTTTCTTAAGGTTGATCTGCAGTTGCAAGAAGCAGCTTTGAAAATGAGACAGCTTTAAAAAGAGAAACCTGAATAGAGATTATATTTCTCTGAATTAAATTATCAGTGTCACTACTTTGTGCCATTCGGTGAGCGTGCGCACGCAAAAATTTTTCACTTCGCATAGAAAAGAGACACTTATTAACAAAGCAGGTAGAAAGACCATCCTTCCAAGATGTTGACTTATTGGAAGACCTAAGGGGTCTTTTATTTTGCCATCTTAGTCCTGTTTAACTGTATGCTTCTATTTCCTGAGTGTGCTTGCAGTCAGGTAGCAGCATAGCCTCTGATGTAGATGTACATGAATTCTGATGTAGAGAAACTAAACAGTTAATGTTTTGGAAAAAAAAAAAGTAGTATTATCCTATCATCTAAATATGAATTTCACTCAGGGAGGAAATTCCATGACACTGACAAATTGCTGAAAATTATCTAACTGCTGATGCAGCTTGTTGGCTTGTAGTAGTATAAGGCATTAACTTCTAAAACGAAGCTGTAATGTGTTTTTATTTTTCAAATATTCCAAAATTGCCATTAAGAATTGCCATTATGTTTATTTTCAGAAGAAAAAAAGACACCTTTTGGCTGTTCATAAAATATATAATGTAATTTGAGATAAATAGATATATATGTCTATATTACATATTTATCTATATGTGTGTAGACTAGGGCTAAATTTCACAGATGTGTGGTATTTTTTCTGCCTGGAAATTTAGTTATAGAAAGATCTGTAGATTACAGTTACTCATATGAGAAACTAGAATGTCAGACTCAGTAGAGAAGGTAGATGCAATCTGAGCTTTTACATGTTTGAAGATCCTGGGTGTGTTCTATCTATATAGATCAGCTTTACGCTGGACATCTGATGTGCACATGTGGAAAACATGACAAGATTGGAATGAATTGGATGCAATGTACAGGCTTTTGGTACATGTGCAGATCTAAGTGTGCAACCTATATAGAGTAAAGCCAGTATTCCCAGAGCAGTCGGATCCTGTACACACAGGTGCCTATCAGGGCAACAAAAACACAGTCAGTCCAGCAGTCCCGAAGTGAGGATCCGACTCATTGCAGACGGAATATGTACAACCTGTTTGAGAAATGCTAGGTACCATTCTATAGCCATACACCCCTGAAATTTCTTTTCCTGCTCACATCTTTCACACTCAAGTCATCTGGATAAAGCAAGGCTTAAGCTTCCACCTTTCTTTCTTTCTTTACAGAAAGAAGACTGTTCCACAGTACCTGGGTCCTGGGTAAGAACTCTAGGCAAGACAGAGTTCCCTGATATCTCTTTTAAACCCCGTAGGTTTCTACTGTGGAATTGTCCTTTGGATTAAAAATTAACTTTCTTTTCATTATGTGTAACTTTTTTTTTATCTGGGTCTTCTGGTTCTTGTCAACAGCTTTTGACCATCTAATACATGTGTGAAAAATTAAGCCCTCCCTTCCTTATTCTTTTAAGAAAGCTGTCTAATTTTCATTTCTGGTTGGACTTGTATTTTAAATTTCCTTCCTTGTTGAGGATAGTGAAAACTTGCTGTGGCTTATGTTTGTTTGATACAGTCCTTTCTGATGTAGAGGAAGACTTTAAACTTCTTGCTAGGGGAAAGGCAGAAATCTAATTAAACTAATCTGAGGGCATTTTACAAGTCAAAATGAAAAATACACCTATTTATCTAAAATAATTACTGAAGCATATAAATACTGAAGCTTTGGTTTGGGTTTTTTTTGTTTGTTTATTTGGTTTAAAAAAAATAATTTAAAGTATGTAATTTCCTCTGGATGAATATCTCTACATTCAGAGCAAAGTCGTCTTTGTTCATAATGTGCTGTTTCTGTGAAAACCTTGATATATTGGCGATTCTTAGGTAATAACACAATAGCAGATCACCAGATGGTTTGAAATGCCATGTCTCAAGGACAGCACAAAAATTGTTTCTCAGGGCATGAGGTAAAAAGTCACTTTAATTCATGAATACATTTTTGTTTCTTGTCTGAATTGCTTAGTCATCTCACTTGATTGCCCATTTTTTTAAAACTTTAAAAAAATACTTCTCTTGAGAGAAATTCCGTGGTCTGCAGGGTAAATGGTCTTGTAAAACAGTGAATTCTAGTTTTTTCCTGTAGTTCAGATAGAATTTCGGGATTCAAGATTTGTCTCTTTTTCTTGTGAAAAGTTGAATCCAGTCTCCTGAGTAAAAAAGTTTTTAAAACAGTGAACTGTTGAGATCAGCCATCTGTAAGGCAAATCTCTTCAGAACCATTTAATATTGTGTGTCTAATCCTGTTGGCTTCAGTTTGTTTGTGGCAGGGATGAATTTTCCAGCTCAGATAGAATTGGGAAGCTGTATCTGTCATGAAACTCTTGGTGGAGCATTCTTACAGTGTAATATGGGAGTTTAGGAGAGTTACAATCTGGGGAAACTGGATTTGTTCCCAAATAACTGAAAACTGGTGTGTGGCCTTAATAATCCCAGGAACACATTTCCTTTGATAATGTTCCCTTTTGAAGAACTGATAGGCCTTATTATTGTATTTGCAGGTGACTGTAGGGGGATATGAGCAGATGAAACAAAGGGGTGATAGAATATTCTCTTTCTCTTTTATAATGAAGTTTTCAACAAAACTGTTCCTACTCCAAAGTATTGAGTTATTAAAGGAAACTAAGTGGATTGAAGCACCATCAGTAATCTGTAACGGAAATGTCTTTTTTCAGCCTTTTTTCCTTGTTATAATACTGTTGGTTAACATGTCTGCTGTGTTCACTCCTTCGCTATCGATTGAAAAACTTTTTTGATGTTCCTTTCTCTGTTCTACGTTTTTCTTCAAAGTTTGGTACGGAGACCTAGTTGTAATTCACAACTTTTGGTTCAAACTGCCATCCCAAAAAGTTCAGACAATCTAGGGGATTGTTAAGTTTTGACAAAGGTGCTTCAAAATCAAACAATATTTAGTGGAAGTGTAGTAGATGCTGGTTTACTTCTGGGATTGCTTTAGGATAGCTGAGAAACTAAGATAAACACAAAATTGAAATCTTATGTTTGAAAACCAATTCTGTGCAGAAAGTTTTTTTAAGTATTAATGAACAAATATTTTATTAATAGTCTCCAGCTGGAAGTTACAACTTCATTTTCCAGAAAAGAAAAATGACTTTTAAGTTTCATGTATCAAAGGATGAGATGAAAAACATCATCTTCCTGAAACAAATCAAGACAATTAGTATATCAGGTATTGTATGTTTGTGTGTAGGCTTCTTTGCAAGACCTGTAGTATCTGAATATTTGAAAGATTTTCTATGAAATAAGCCTACAGTCTCATCCGTGAAGCTTACGATTTTATAGAAGGGAGCAAAACAGTGCTAAATAACTGTTTTACTGTAACCACTTGGGAAACCTGTTGCATGACGGTTTTCGTTCAGCTAAATGCTTGAAGTGCTGACCAATATTCCAAATTTAAAGGAAAAAAAAAGTACTAAAAAGTAAATGCATGCAACTAGAAAATAGTAAGTTCTTTATTAAAAGATTTGGTGTTATAAAATCGTGTCTGTTCTATCTCCTGTTAAACTTTACTGAATAAGCACAAATGGCTGGTTTTTGACTAGGTTGCTTCTTTTGGTATCTTTTGACAAAAGCGCATACCCATTAAATTTAATACAGTTTATTACTGGTATTTATTTAAAAATGTAGGAATTACTGTGCCATCAGTGGTGGTTCTACTCAGTCTACAGCAGGCAGGATCAGATGCTTCAGAGAAAGATATAAAAAATGTGGAAACTGTCAAACACAGAATAACCATTCCAGATAGGAAGCTTTTCTAACGTTACTCACAGTCTGTCACTTGGCAGAGGAGTTTCAAATTTTGGGTGGGAGGAAAATTCTCTCTTAGTTTTGTCTTATTTCTTTTCCTTCCCAAGCATACTGTCTGGAGAAAAGCAGAATTACTCTGTTCTGAGATTAGCTGTTTTTGGAAAGTGCACGTTTGTTATGTTCTGCATTCCTAATCTGTATCGTATCATGAAGGTGTGTATTGAAACCCAGCGGTCGTTAGTCTGTTGAGTCTTTTATGCAGAGTGCATCCCTTTGAAGAAACACTTAACACGTTTGCAGCTAACAGAACTAAAGTAGTGCAGCGCCCTTCCCACCACCATGTCTGCGTATCCATGCGTACGCAAACGCTTGCTCAGTGATTGGTTACTTTCTTGATCAGGGTATGTGGCGGGAGGGAGGAGCTGCTGCTGAGTTTTGGTTTTGCCAGATATAATCACAGTCTAAAGCGTGCTCATACTGAAGAAAGCAGTTTCATACTGAAGCAAGTCATTTTCCTATGCTATCTTCTTCCACTGTGAGATGCAGCTAGCTAAAATGGTACCTCTATTTTTAAAGGCTTGTCATTACTGATTTATTTCTGAACCTCTGGAATACCAATATTCTTGATCTAAACTAAATTTTTTTGTATAGTGATGAATATTCTCTGCTTATTATTTGTTTTCTTTCAAAGGATGATTTTGAGGTGAAATCTGAGGAGCGTGCCAGTGTTATCCAGCAGCTTGAGCAAACTATTGAGGATCTGAGGACCAAAATTGCAGAGCTAGAGAAACAGTTCCCTGCTGCAGAGGTACAGACTGCTGGGAGGGAGCAGAAAAATGAGCACATGCATGCAGTCTGTGGGGAACTCAGCAGTGTGACTCTTCGAACGAACGGAAGGGAGACTGTACCCAGGACTGTGTCACAAGCAAGATCTGTACAAACGTCACCAACAGAGGATTATTTACCACACACAATGCCTTCAGCCAATGCACTGCCACAGCCACCCCCACCACCGCACTTAGAAGGGGGCAAAAGTGAAGAGCCAAGTCAGAAACTACCAGCTTTAGAACTACAGCCCATGTTTTGTTCTGAAATCTCCTTAATTCTGTCACCGAAGCTAATCTCAGTGCCGCTGGATTCAAGCCAATCAGTACAGAGTACACCACAGTCATCTCTTCCAGGACCCAAAGTTAATTTGTCTGGTGCATTTGAAGGAGAGACTGAAATGCCAGCTTTCCATCAACCTCTAAGTACTTCAGATGTGACTTGTGAACATCCTCCTTCTTTGCCCCTGGAGCCAACATGTAGCATTCCCTCATCACTACCGGCCACTGAACCTGCTGCTTCCCTGTCTGGATCACATGGCCCTTCCCTTGCCACTTCCATGTCCATGGCAGGACTACCTCCCCCACCACTCCTGCCTGGCTCAGGACTCTCTCCTTCTGCTGGCTCAGCAGTGCCACACCTGGACCACTCTTTGCCTGGCATGCCACCACCCCCTCCTCCTCCTCCACCTTTGTCAAGTGGGGAGATACTGATACTGCCTCCAGCCCCTTCTATCCCATCTGCTGGAGTCCCACCACCACCTCTACCACCGCCTTTGCCTGGAGCAGGAGTCCCACTCCCTCTGTCCAGTTTGGGCATCCCACCTCCACCACCACCACCACCTTTACCTGGGGCTAGTGTCCTTCCCCCACCTCCTCCTCTTCCTGGCCTGGGAATGCCACCTCCAGCACCACCTCTGCCTGTAGCAGGGCTGCCACCACCTCCCCCACCTCTACCTGGAGTCGGCATCCCACCCCCTCCTCCTCCACCTCCGCCACCACCTCTGCCTGGAGCAGGTGTCCCCCCTCCACCTCCGCCACCACCTCTGCCTGGTGCAGGTGTCCCTCCTCCACCTCCGCCACCACCTCTGCCTGGTGCTGGTGTCCCTCCTCCACCTCCGCCACCACCTCTGCCTGGTGCAGGTGTCCCCCCTCCACCTCCGCCACCACCTCTGCCTGGTGCAGGTGTCCCTCCTCCACCTCCGCCACCACCTCTGCCTGGTGCTGGTGTCCCCCCTCCACCTCCGCCACCACCTCTGCCTGGTGCTGGTGTCCCCCCTCCACCTCTGCCACCACCTCTGCCTGGTGCTGGTGTCCCTCCACCACCCCCTCCTTTGCCTGGGTTGGGGATGCCACCTCCAGCCCCACCACCTTTGCCTGGGCAAGCACCGCCCCTTCCAGCACCAGGCCAGGGCAGCACCTACCCAGCAGTCCCACAGGTCTCTGGGTTTCTTCCTCCTCCATTGCCGTCTGGTTTATTTGCAATGGGGATGAACCAGGAGAAAGGGAGCAGGAAACATGTGATAGAGCCTTCTCGGCCAATGAAGCCTCTTTACTGGACAAGAATTCAGCTCCACAGTAAAAGGTAAGTAGTAGAGTTGCAAAGAGAGTGATGTTTTCGCTTTATGATTGTCCTGATAGTGTCATATGTTATGAGCAAAAGTCTTTATTTACTGCTAGGCAGGTCTTTGAGAGAACCTCAGTGCAAACACAATTTTATTTATAGTTGTATATGTAAACAGAGTGTCCATTTCATTTAAAGTACCCAAACTCTGAATGACATTGTTTGCACACGAAAGCTCTTCGAGGGTAGTGTTTTCAGCTGTGTTTTGGGGTTACATACCACGAGTTGATCAGAGATCCAGGGGTGACTGTGTGCCACTAAGCATTCTGTGAGATGGTTTTTAAAATGTCGTATTTGTGCTTCGCCTCAGCTTTCAAGATAGTGTTGGTCTCTCTCTGGAGCACCTTGCAAGTTTTGGTAGTGTCTTCCCTTTATGAATGTGTGGTGAACACATTTTATCCTCGTCTTTCCTTTCTTCAGTGACTTAGAAATCCTTGGGGTTTTTTTTCCACCTTGTGCTATTCTGGTAGCCCTTACTTTGATGTGACTTTGATATAATAGGTTTTGGTTGTTGATGCTTTTTGTTTGTAAAATATCATTTTTGGTCATGAAAAGAAGTTTCCTTGTTAATCTTTTCTTTATGTCTCGGGGTACTGATTGTCAGACTCTTCTGCTGTTATTTAATAAGCTTCTTTCTTTTCAAGTTCTAGCCACTGTCGCACAGGCAATCTGCAGATAACTGTCTATTTCTACTTCTCTTTGTGTCCATGTCTGTATGTTTTATAGCCTATATACAGCCTATTTACATTCCTATGTATGTAAAGTGGGTGAATATAAATGAGCCTGACCATTATTGTGCGTGAACAAAGCAAACAAAGTAGTATTGGGGAGAATCAACAGTACATCTTTCCAAAACACTGCTAGTAGAAGTTAGGCAACAACTTTTACATTGCTGCTATTTTTTCTTCATTCCTCCATTTATGACCTTATTTAGTTTGACATTGCCCTACATAGGTCTTTTGCTTAACTTTAGAGATTCTAGTGCTTCACTTGTGTGGGAAAAAATTGAAGAGCCTTCCATTGATTATCATGAGTTTGAAGAACTGTTTTCTAAAACAGCTGTTAAAGAGAGGAAGAAACCCATTTCGGACACCATTACAAAAACAAAGACTAAACAAGTGAGTACTCATTTCATTTCAGATCTTTCCTAGGCTGGTTTTTACATAAAGACAGATTTTTGCATGCAGCTGAGATGAATTTTGCCTGGTGTGAAATTGTTACTATAGGTATCTACACTATGTAGAAATATAAGAAAAAAGAGAGAATGTAGGATGAGTTTCAAAGATATGTGTATTAAAGACTGAAGATTTTTTTTTATAGATTACTTTTCAAGTATATATTGTCTTTTTAAAAAAATTGCTTTATCCACTTAAAAATTAAAAAAAACCCTAAAATAATTAGATACACATATGATGCTTTGAAATTGACTGCACATGTGCAATGAGTGGTATATAAATTATTCTGATTAATTTTATAAATTAAATAGTTGCATATGAATTACCATGGCTTCAGAGGAAAATTATGTTTAAGAACCTAAGTCTTAATGTTACACCAATCATGACAGTTCTAGGTTTGTGTTGTGTTTTTATATAAATATCAAGTTTATGCATACAATAAACGACAAGCACAATTGGGAAAATCCAACAATAATCAAGCTGGTTTCTTGAAATGGAATGATGTACAATAAAAAATAGAAAGCATATTTTAAATGTAGAAGTTTTAAACCCTGGAGTAAGATAATAGAATCTGAATATTCACATGACTAGGAGAGCTATAATCTTGGTATCTGTGAAAATTGAATTGTGGTGGTATGACAATTAATTTGCAATTGAACTTTGAGTCTGTAGAGGAGAACGTTCTTATGTAGAATCCTAAACAGCAGTTAAAATTGTTTTATCTCTTCTTCACATTCCTGTACTTGGTTCAAGACTAGGCTTGTTCTTTCCATCTTTTCACATACAGGTTAGCGCTATGCAAGATTTTTTTCCACATTGGATGTACAGTGAGACTCTTCAAAATCTCCATGCAGTAGGTCTTATGTTTGAATATGACCTCTCCACTTAGTAGTTCTGGAGGTCTTGCCCCCACAGACACACTTTGGTCAGCAATATAAACGTGCAGGCACTCTTTACTGTGCTGGCAACCTGCTGCAGGCAACAGAACTGGTAGTGAAGGTGTACTGGTTTCAGCTGGGATAGAGTTAGTTTTCTGCTTAGTAGCTAGAATAGCACTGTGTTTTGGCTTTGGTATGGGATTTGGTATGAGAAGAATGTTGATAACATACTGATGTTTATAGCTGTAGCTAAGATATCAAGGACTTTTCAGCTTCCCCTGTTTTGCCACTGTGCAGGTGCACAACAGGCTGGGAGGGAGCATGGCTGGAGCAAAGGACCCACAGCTCCTATTTTAGGATCTGAGTTTAAGTTTAGGATTGAGGCCCGAATTAGCCAATGGAATATCGTGCGACATCATGCCCAGTAAATTGATGAAGTGGAAGTGGTCTTTCTTTGGATTTCTCTTCGGAATAATCACTCTTGCAGGATGGTGGGTTTGGAACTTCTCTGTTTCAGGATCGCTTGCTGGGATGGGACGGTCGTTGTTCACCAGGTGGTGAGCAATTGCACTGTGCATCACTTGTTTGTATATATTAATTT